TTAATTTGGTCCTTTAACTATTGTATAAACCCTGGATTTGGTTTTTAAATTAAAAAAATTTATAATTTGATCCTTATTGTTTACTAATTTGACCTCAAATTGATCATTTCGTTAAAAAACAGTTGACATATCTTTTACTTAACAGTAAAAAACCGTTACTTAATAATTACGTGTTATTTTAATAATGAGATACATCTTTTATTTTTATATAAAGAGACTAACTTAGGGTTAAATTGATCAAATCAAAAAAAAATTTAGTTCATGAACCAAAATAGGGATCCGTGCAATAGTTGGAGGATTAAATTAAAGATTTAACTTATATTTTATGGTTTGAATTATAAAACAATACACAAATTTTTTAATTATAAAAATTTTCTTGTAATTGGGAAGTATGCCCTATTTGAAAGGCAATACATTGTTGAGAAAGGTTAGCTTTGCTGCGTTGGATTAATTTCACCGAGAGACAGAAGCCATCCAAGTATAATTGTTCAAAGTAACCATCTTGGGAAGGTGTGCTTCAATCCATATCATAACTTATCATCAATGGATAGTTATAGGAGGACACCTAATACAAGGTGACTCATATATGCTACCGCCACGAGTTGCAACTGCGCATGCACAAACGGTTATTGTTGGGGACAGATCCTTTTGAATATAAATTATATTTTAAGGTAAAATATCAACCACCTAATTAGTTCAGTGGTCATATCTTTTTATTAAAAGTAAAAGATTGAAATTTTGAATAGTATAATATGCGTGATAAAATAAAAGATGAGAGATAATTATCTCTTATCATGTAATTAAAATAAAAAATAAAATAAAATAATTCATGAGTTTGGAAAATATTCAAAAACAATGTCACATCTTACTCACATCACTAATTGACGATTGGATTTCCAACACGTGAGCTGATCGTGTGTGTTATTGTTTTTTTTTTTTTTTATTTGCTTTCCACACTAAATTTTATACAATGATAAATATGCAATAGATATAAGGAAATGGATATATCAGTTTTAATTTTAAAAAATAATTAAAGTTTTGATTTTAAAGGATATTATTTTATTTAATTAAAATTTAATTTAAAAATTAAAAATTTATTTTATTAAATATTAATATTTCTATTTAAAAATTAATTATATATTTTAATATAATAAGTTTTTAAATTTATATATCAATATTTAATAAAATAAATT